CAGAGATGTGTATAAGAGACAGATGCTCTAAGTAGAAAATGTCCGACTTTCATCAGAGCCTTGGAGGAGGAGAAAAAGAGAACTGGATGGCAGACTACGAAATAGCAATCACGGAAAGAATCAATTGTATACACGAATGCGCAGAGTCTTATGGCGCACAAGGGCGAATTTCAAGACTACATGAAGAGGATGAATCTAGCAGTCATGGCGTTATCGGAGACGAGGCTCGTTCCGGAAATCGAAGATAGTGAAATGAATGTGCCGGGATATGATTTGGTTAGATGCGATAGTGAAAATAGAAACACAGGAGGTGTTGTGATTTATATAAAAAACAACATCAAATACGAGGTAATAGTAAGGGAAAAGGTAGCATCAAACTGCTGGTGTGTGGCGATTGAAATGAGAGACAATATGTATAAAGGTGTGATTGTGTGTGTATCATTCACCGAGCGCATCAGATGGTGATTTCATAAGATTTATCGAAGACATAGTGGATCTCCTAGTAACAAAAGGTCAATGTATTATGTTAGGCGACTTTAATATAGATTTAATGGCGGATACGTTTTATGCGAAGAAACTAATAAAGGAAATGTTATGTTTAGGTATGAAACAATACGTAGACAAACCGACTAGAATCACTAAAAATAGTCAAACTTTAATAGATTTAGTTTTTGCAAATACTAAGGTGAACTGCAAAGTATATGATAAGCCAAAGATAACCGATCATTCATGGTTAAGCGTGGAACTTAATACAAGTAATAATAATGAAAAATACAAAGAATTTATTAGTAGGGACTATAGCAAATTTAGTATAGATGAATTTTTATATGCAGTAGAGGAGAGATTAGAACGACCAAATAATTTAGGGGTTAATGAAAGAGCAGAGAAATTTGTTCAAAATATGGTAGCGGCATTAGATACTGTAGCACCAAAGAAAAGGTTTAAAATTCCAAAGATATGGGAAGGGAAAAAATGGTTTTCGGATGACATAAGAATAGCTACAAGGAAAAGGGATGAAGCATACGAGAGGGCGAAACGTGCAGTAAACAAGACTGGCTGCAATTTAAACGTGATAGAAATGCCGTAGTGAAGATAATTAGAAAGAAAAAGAAAGAGTATTATGAAAACATGATAATTAATAATAAAAATGATCCTGTAAGAATGTGGAAAACTTTAAAAAAAGTCATAAGAGGAGAGACAACGGGTACAAAAGTAATTGATAAGGTAGATTTTGAAATATTAGAGAACGTAGAAGAATGTACCTTAGCAAATAGATTTAATATATTTTATATACAGAGTATTAATGACATAGTAGAATCCATAGGAAACAACGACAGTAGACGTACTAAAACTACATATTTATGTTATTGAAAGTAGAGGCATAATTGAAAATTTTGAGTTGATAGATGCACAAAAATTAGAACGAATTGTAATGGTCTTGCCGCAGAAGAAGAGAACAGATGAGGGAATATCTAGTGATATATTAAAAATAAGCTTTCATGTTATAAAGAATGAACTATTAAGGGTAATAAATGATTCATTATTAAAGGGTATATGCCCGGAGGAATGGAAAACATCTATGATAGTACCGATCCCCAAAATAGAAAAACCAAAAAAAGCAAGTGAGTATAGACCAATCAATATATTACCTATTTATGAAAAAGTTTTAGAGCTAGTAGTAAAGGAGCAAATAGAAAAATATTTACTTAATAATGACATTATAACAGAAAATCAATCGGGATTTAGAAAAAACCATTCGTGTGAAACGGCGATACAAAGTGTTATTGATGACTGGAAATTGATAGTGAGGGAAAAATGGTAG